GGGGGGGAGGGGGGGGGGGGGGGGGGGGGGTGGAATTTGGCTCTCAATCTGAGAAAAACACTCACTAGAGGGTCTATTTAGATTAGGGGCTTCCTGGTTGTAAGGGCTGGCTGTTCCCCTCCCCCACAGTGGAAGGGCCATGTGCCTGTGCTTGCAAAGCTTGCTAAGCAACAGGTGGCTGATCCTATCTTCTGTGAGGTTACAGAGACCCGGGACTTGCAAGGTGTCCTATTGTGTATACCGCATGTATGCCGGATAAATGTAGCACTGGCAAATGCGAAATAGCTTCCAAACAGGTGGGACACCACTGGGATGTCTCTACTTTCTGTTTTCTGAATGGAAAAGGACACTGCCATGAAAGCCTTTGACTGCAATTACTTAGAAGAGGGCATGTTGTTTTCTTGGCATAGCATGATACAATATATACCTTCTGATGTCAATTGAAATGGATATAACCTCGTAATTTTCTTTCTTATACCTAAATAGAAATCTCTTACCTATTGTCTTTGATTGGAGATTTTCACTAGTTAGTTGATTAAAAATAGATTCTGCTGCCAAAACTCCACTCTTCATTGCTGTGTGGGTACCTTTGATCTTGGGAACATTCATGAAACCAGGACTGCAGCCAATTAGTAAACCACCAGGAAAGGTAAGTTTTGGTATAGACTAAGGAAAGAAAGGTTCAGAATACATTTGTTAGCTCACTAAAATAAACAAGCAATGTTGAACACTCCAAATCACAGTCTTAAAGTCTTCTATGGCTGAAGGGAAAGGCCAAAAAACAAACCCGGGAAAATGAATTGAACAAAGGGAAAAGAGCAGGGGTAGTTCTCCTTTTCCTCCCCTAGGAGTGGAGGTTAGGATTGTTACTGTTTTTCTGTTAAAGTTCTACCTCTTCCCTCTCTATGACTGACCTACATGGGACAGATCTAAGACTAAAGCAAAAGCATGTTTTAAAGAAAATGTTTTATTTATACATATTCATATCATAGTTAAAATATTCTCTAAACCTAAATGACCATTATCTAAATTGTGATTTGCTTGCAAATAAAAACCACAATGAAATATATATCACCTTACCCTAGTTAGGATGGCTACTATAAAAAAGACAAAAAATAACATGCAGGCAAGGATGTGGTGAGAAGAGAGCTATTACATGTTGGTGGGAATGTACATTAGTGCAGCCATAATGGAAAACAGTATGGAGGTTCTGCAAAAAGCTAAAAATAGAAATACCGTATGATTCGGCAGTCCCACTGCTGGGTATGTAAACAAAGGAAATGAAATTGGTGTGTCAAAAAGACAGCTGCACTCTCATGTTTACTGCAGCACTATTCACTTACTGTGATTACCAAGATATGGAATCAACCAAAGTGTCCATCAATGGGTGAATGGACAAAGAAAATGTGGTGTGTGAGGGGGGATCCAAAGAAGCCAGAATTTATGAAAAATTGTGTATTTACTCTTACATGTTTAAAATTTCAGTCACCTTCAAGGTACTCTCCATCTGATACAATACACCTGCTTTTCCCACTGCTCAAAACAATTTTTGAACTCAATCAGTTTTGATGCCTTTTAGTGCTTCTGCTAGTTTTTGTTTCACCTCTTCCACATCGGCAAAACATTTCCCTTTGAGGACTTTTTTCATCCAGGGAAACAAATAAAGTCACTCAGGGCGACATCAGGTGAATACGGATGGTGAGGTATGGGGGTCTTGGTGTTTTCAGTTAAAAACTGCTGAACACTCAGCGCAGTGTGGGCAGGCGTGCTTGTAAATAACCCATCATAAACTGAACAGACACATTCAAAGAATCTCCAAAAAAAATTCCCTGAAACTGACTGCAGCCTCTCACAACAATGCTAGCTGCTACACTGATGCTGATGGGTTCCTAGGACACTTACCTAGCAGGGGCAGCATGTACTGTTAGGGGCCCCGCCCTCCAAAAAATAATTCTGATTTTTTTTTTTGATCACTCCTCATATATACAAAAGGAAATACTATTTCACCATAAAAAAGAACAGAATCCTATCATTCAACATAGATGAGCCTGGTTCAGCATAGAAAGACAAATACGGCATGCTCTTACTCATATGTGGAAGCTAAGAAAGTTGATCTCATAGAAGTGGAGTGTGGAATAGATACCAGAGGCTGGGAAGGGTAGGGGAGGAGGGGGATACAGAGAGACTGGTTAACAGATACAAACTTATAACTACACAGGAGTAAGTACTTGTGTTCCATAGCACTATAGGGTGACTACAGTCAACAGTAATTTATTGTATTTTTTCAAATAGCTAGAAGAGAGGATTTTGAATGTTACCAACACAGAGAAACACTAAAGATTTGAGATGATGGGTATGCTAATTACCCTGATTTGATCATTATACATTGTGTACCTGTACCAAAATGTCACATTGCACCCCCCAAAAGTGAACCCAAATATTTAAAAGGGCATTAAAAAAATTGTGATTTACTTTTATACACATACTGGGTAATACATGACTTACAAAGGATACTATATACACTTTTAATTTTACTTTGAAAACTAAGGACAGAAACCTGTGATCCATTCATAGCAGTGCCATGACTAGCTACCGCCCTAAATATATTTTGATTAATTTAATGTTGAATTTCCAAAATAAATTTTTTAAATTAATTAATTAATTTATTATAAAGATGTGGGGTACAATTCAGGGTTAGGTATACAAACATTAATCATGCAAGTACCCTTGTTGATGAGGTATGCCCCTCCCTCCCCTAGCAGTTTCCTTCAATTGCCAATCCCACCTCTCTCCCGACAGTTTTCCACTACTGCCAATAGCTTTCTTATAGCATTATGATTGTTCAAGGTCACCTTATGAATGAGAACATATGAAACTCAGTTGTTTCTGTGATAAATCACTGAATATGATCGGACCTCAGTATACATTTCTGATAATGTATAGCCATCCTGATTAGGGTAAGGTGATACATTACTGTGGTTCTGATTTGCAAGCAGATCACAATTTATATAACAGTCATTCATGTTTAGAGATTTGTTAACTATGACATGGATATGTATGAATAAAACATTTTATTTAAAACATGAGGCTTCAGTCTTAAATTTGTTCCATGTCAGTCATGGGAAGGGAAGAGGAAAAATTTTAACAGAAAATCCCCACAATCCCCACTCTTAGGGGAGGAAAAGGGTGGTGACAGTTTTTGGTTTAGCCAATAAAATCTATATATAGCCTACAATGTAGCAGCCAAACACAGACTGTATGGAGAAATGTACTCTGCAGTTTAGAAAGAGAAAGCCAATGCAGAGTTATTTTTTCCACACTGTGCAGTTCTACTCTTAAGGGTTGTATGGCTTACTTGTTGAGAGAGTGGTAGTTGGTAAAAGTCTGGCTGATGTCACTGAGAGGACTCCGAGAGAAGCCAACAGGAAAATTATCAGAGGCCTGGTGAACTCTTCCTGGCCACAGTCACATTGCATCAACACAGAAATCTTGACTGTGAGGGAAGGTGCTAAGAAGCAAACTGGGGCAGAAGGAGTGCTGGTGTGAGGGAAGAACCAGGGCCCAGGTTCCTTCATGGTGTATGTGGAGAATGAAACTATGACTGCGGCTCTCAGACCAAATTCGATGTAGAGCCCCTGAGATAAAAGAGCATTAAATCGGGATTAAAGAGCAGACAAAGGGGCAAAAAGGCTTTCTGGAATGCCCCTACCTGAACACAGATAATGGTTTAATGACAGTGCTTTGTTCAAATAAGGATGCGGTTCTGTTGACACTAAGTTTGATTTTAGAGCCAGAAGAGTGTGAAGTTTAATCAAAGGTTATCAATTATTATATAAAGATTTTAGTACAAGTTCTATCAAAATAGGTGCTTACATCCTCAGAATAAAAATGTTATGGCCCCAGGAAAATGTGTTTTAAGTTCTGAGAGGATCACGCCATGGGTGGGCAGGGTTACTATAGCAGCTGGGCGTCTTGTTGGGAAGCTGGGGACCAAGGGAAATCCACAATGGGTTATGTATTTTGGGACATTCATTACACTAGGACTACGGGTAATTAGAAACCCAATGGAAAAGATGAGTGTTGGCACAGACTGAAGAAAGAGGCAAAGTCAGATAATCTTTGTTAGCTCAAAATAAACAAAATGGAATGTTCTAAGTTATTGTCTCTTTGTTTTCTATATGTAAATGAAAACAACTCGGGCTGTCCTTTCCCTCTTGCTATCCCAGAGGGAGAGAATGGCCATCTATAATAAACGGTGGTTACAGCGAAGCAACAAGAGCTGCCTCTACTCAGGGACCCTGGCCACCACCACATGGTTGCTGGCACTTCACACATTCAGGGAAACTTCTCGTAACCAACTGTAGAAATGGTCCCTGGAAGTACAGTGGAAATAAGTTTCTGAATCTGTGACTCATTAAATCAGAAAATTCCTGCAAAAAGTGTGTGTGTGTGTGTGTGTGTGTGTGTGTGTGTGTGTGTGTGTGTGTGTATGGTCATCTCTTCCTGCCAATCTGCAAACCACCTGAGATGTTGAAGTACATAGGCAGATGTTTTTAAATAAAAATCTGTATGTACTATTGCATAAACTGAAGCCTGTATAGTATAAATTACAAAGAGTGGAATTAGAATGACAGCAACTGTTATAGACATTATTTAAACAAACTTAATAGACTTGAGTTTAGTTATGCAAGTCAATAAATATTTCTAACAAATTAATTACTACTTTAGAAACAAAACAACCTCATGTGAAGTAATCCCACAGAACTTAAGGACAGTGTTACTTTAAGATTCTATTGATTATGTTTAAAATTAAACTAAGATTTTACTTGACTTTATAAAATATTGTTGCAGTAATAAAGTAGAACTTCACTTTTAAGGTCAAGTCAATGTATTTATTTATTTGTTTTTTGTTTTTTTTGAGTTGGAGTCTCACTCTGTCACCCAGGGTGTAGTACAGTGGCACACTCACAGCCACCCCAGCATCGACCGGCTGGGCTCCGGTAATCCTTTCGTCTCAGTCTTCCAAGTAGCTGGAACAATAGGTGCGGGCTACTGTGCCTGGCTAAATTTTTATTTATTGTAGAGACGAGGTCTCGCCAAGTTGCCTGGGCTGGTCTTGAACCCGTGGGCTTAAGCAATCCACTTGCCTCAGCCTCCCAAAGTGCTGGTATTACAGGCTGAGCCACTGAGCCCAGCCAAATATACTCTTAAAATTAAATTATTGGTATAATTTAAGTACTGTGTGCCATAGTTTTATAAACACTGGGCACTTTGCTTGTTTCTTAGATTTTCTTCCTTTAATTTTCTATTCTTTATCTGAATTTGTTACATCCTATTTTCAATTCTGATTTATAATACAGAAAGAAGGACTAAGAAGCTGAAAGAGTTACCTGCAAGCCACCTTCATTGAGCGCTCTGGCCCCATATGCAATCCTTTTCCCACCTTCCAGTGTTGGCTGAATGCTGGGATGGTGCTTCCACCTCTGGAACTCTCTAAACGGACTCAGGTATGGATTCTGATAGTCTAGACCAACCTTCAAATGTTATATTTAAATTTTTACATTTATGCAATCATACATTTTTACTTCAAAATAAATCAAGCTAAAATGTGAGCAATGTTTATCAGAAAACGCACATGTTAAATTTCCTGTAAAGTATTTGAAGCAATATATGCAGTAACACAAATTTAAATAAAAAGTTGTATAAAATCTGTCTGGAAAAGAAAGGGTAAGTAAAAGGAAACCCAGTGTTTATAATCAGCAAACCTCTGACAATTTGGAACATATTAATGAATCAATTGTGTTCTGGAAATCAATATCCAAATTGGAAACATACCTGTAGGTAATGTCTCAGGTTATGTTTCTACGAAAGAAACTGTAATAACGAATTATATGTTATGCATACCAACTCTAAAATCAACCAGTAATCTACACCACAGTAGTACTAGGCAAAATGAAGATAAAGGATGTAAATCACTTACAAAAAAGAGGACAAGAAATACAGGTTATACTTCATAAGGCATTACCAAAGGGTTGCAATTAGTAACCACATCTTAAACACTGATCATGCATAAATGTAGCAATGTGTCATATACAACTCTATCACTAAACTATAAAGCTGCTACCTCTCAAGGTCAGAAATGCTTCTATTACTTTTCCATTCCTTGTAACATTCAAGATCTAATTGACTGCAAAGATGTAGGTGGCCACAAGGAGAATAGTTTGTGTTTTAAAAGTTGCAGGTTCAAACCCAGTGCTGGTTTCACTTTGAGCATGCCACTGAGTGGAAGTGGGCTCTGAAGTCACACAAGTTCAGGCACTTCTGCCTCTGTCACCTCGTGTGTATTCTGGAAAGTTGTTGAACTTACTTGGACTTCAGTTTTCTCATCTAGCACAGTGGCTGGAGTATAGCAGCTCCTAGTGAGGTGGCTATGTGTGTTCAGTAGATTAAAGACGACAGCAGCCACAAGCACATTACATGTTGGGAGAATGAGAAAGTCAGCTTTAAATGGAAAGCACTCTACATTCTCTATATTCAAAACCCAAATTTCATAACAATATAATCCTATAGCTCTAACAGTAGAACTTCCCATAATGGAATTTAACTTACCACAAACCCAAGAGCCACTAGGGGTTCCCCTTCATTTAAATGATAGAGGAAGGAGCCTCCGTACGTGTGTCTGTCCAGGGGCCAACCGACTGTGTGGTCTACTCGTCCAGGCTTCCACTTCTTCTCATCAATGACCCATAACTAAAAAGCAAAACAAAACAAGTAAGTCCTGTAGTATTTAAAATGTTCTTAGGCCATCACAATACATACAACTTGCCAGGCTTAATGTCTTATTTATGAAAATTATATGTGAAAAACTGTAATGTGGGAAACACAGAAAAAATTACTTCAAACATCAAAGAAAGAATTTTTTTTTGTAAAGGAGTCACCTTGAATATCAAAGAAAATTGGAGTACAAGGTCGCAAAGGCTATGAACTCTTTAGGACACTAAATAGATCCTCAAACTGGTGGAGACTAGGAGATTTCAGTTAGGGGTATTATAAGCCACCTTACAGTTACAAGACATTGAAAACCTATAAAAGAAGAGAGAAATCTTTTTTAACTATATAAAAATTAAGTACTTCTAGATACTAAAGATTCTATAAAGTCTGTGGATAAACACTTGACTGGGGGGGCTGACTATCAACGAATACTTTAATGTTGACAAGAAAAAAGACATCACATTAGGAAAGTGGGTAGAGTCTCCACAAGAGACTTCCATGCGACGATAGGCAACACCAGGGAAAGGATGCAGGAAACTTCTGAGGTCCTGGGAACCACATCTTCATCTGGGTGGTAGCCATAGGGTGTATGGGGCTGCAGCTTACGGTCTGTTAACACGTATGTATTCTACCTGCCCCACACAACTGAAGCAAACTGGTCATCCTATTTTCAAATGGGCAAATTTTACATTTTAAACAAAAATTTCTATCTGAAATATTACCTAAAATTCAGATAATATGTGCGATCTTCCAAAACAATTCAGTCCTTATTCACAATAGAGTGAATCCTGTTATATGTAGAATTTGAAGCTTTCTGCGATTTAACCTAAAAATTTTTTATTTTTTTAAAACATTAACATTTACTGTAGTTATTGATCTATTTGGACTTACTCAGCCTTCTCACTTTATATTTTCAATTAACCAAGATTTCATTTTGTTTCGTTTTCAATTTTACTTTTTTATTTTATTTATTTATTTATTTAGAGACAAGATCTCGCCATGTTGCTCAGGCTAGTCTTGAACCCCTGAGCTTATACAATCCTCTCACCTCCTCCTCCCAAAGTGCTGGGATCATAGGCATGAGCCACTGCGACTGGTCTAAAACAATTTTTAAGCTAAAGGGTTATAATGAAAATTTTACATTTGAAGAAGCCTAGGATTTGAGAAAATAGACTATAGAAAAACGGAGAAAAGATATAATATTTAACCTAATTAAATTTCATATTGCAAGGTAATATACTAATTATCTTTACATTACAATTTTGAAAAAATAATTCTTTGAAGAATGTGGTTATCCTATAAACAGCATATGGATAACAGGTACAATCCTATCAGGGCAGATGGCATTATAATGAAAAACCAGAATCAAGGTTCATACATTTTCAAGTTCAAGACTCACTGCAAGCAACACTTGATGATTCCAACATGTAAGAACAATTTAAATAATGGTATTTGATCAGTAATACTTTTTCGCCCTTGAAAAATACCCCAAATAGTTTTTAGTCATAATGAACATTTCAAGACAATAAAAAACTATAGAATTAACTTAATATCATAAACTATGAGTTAAACCTTAAGACAATGAAAAATTGTAAAAGTAGTATCATAAACTGCATGATAATACAAATGAATTTAAGTTCCATATTTCAAGATTAAACTAGCAAAAATAATCCAGGATACCTCCTTTAGTCCAATCCCATATGTCTGCGGATCACAACTTGCTCTCAAATCAAACTTCTTATACAGTTGCTTGGCTAGATGTCCATGGCAGCCCTCTGCAAAAACTGTGACTTTCGCATGTAGTTCTAGTCCCCTCTCAAATGTCGTCTAACAAGCAAAAACATGTTAAATGGCAACATCTGGCAGAATGCAAAATATTCACATTTTGTTCAGTTTTAAACGAACTATGATTTAGGTATAGACAAGACAGTGTAAATATACAGTATTAAAAATAAAACCAAAAGTAATATAAATTAAATTAAATTTAAATTTTATATATATCTTTTGTCTTTGGTATATTTATTTCCTTTTTACTTCAAAAGTACTTGATTGAATGGTTAGGTTTATAAGAATTAGAAAAGCAAATAAAGTATGTTCATGCAAAAAAATTTTCTGCATATGAATATAAAGTGAAAAGGCCATTTCCTCACTGTTACTGGTTTTCCAGTCCTTAATTTGAAGAACAAACACTTAATAACATTCTTCTGAATCATGCCAGAAAATGTTTATGAATAAAAAAACTATACAGAGCCTACTTATAGTCTTCTAACACAAAGCGGATCATTTTAAACATACTCAAGCTACTTTCTTTTTTCACTTTAATTTTACTTGTTCCCTAATTTTGAACATATACTGTAAAACTAATGTTTTTTCCTAGTATAAAAAAGCTACAATGAAAGCTTTTATCTCCCTCTTCTTCTCTCGCTATATATTTTGTACTATGTCTGGAACATAGTAGGTTCTCAATAAAGTTATTGAATAGAGAATAATCAGGAAAGTCTCTTATGAAATATATCTTCCCCAATATACTTCTATTCCTATATTTGCATGTGTGTATGTGTACACAGACACATTCATACAAATAACAGGTTCACACTGACAAACTGTTGTAACTATTTTCTCATACATTATAAAGTGATTTGCTAAAGGCAATATACACCAAAAAAAAAAAAAAAAGCATTTTTGATGCTTGAATAGATTCCCCTAATTTTTCAACCAATTCCCAAGAGTTGGACATTTAGGTTTTTCCAGTGGTTTACTATTATAAGCACTGCTTGGATGAACATCCTTGGTGTTAAATCTTTTCAGTCTGAATAGTAAGAATTATTTCATAATTAACTTAATACCTTTGGTTACTAGAGAGTCTGAACATCTTTCACATGTCTATTGGTAACTTTTGATATGAAATGCTTATTCATGTTATATATATATATGGATATTACACATACACACATATCCTATACATAACTCAGCATAACCTTTTTATTTTTTCCTTACTCTAATTATACCTCATTCATCTGTAATCCATTAACAACCTAGTATGTACAGTTTTATGTAAAAAGATAGGCACATATACATATTGAGATACTTGTTATATATACACTTAAACTTTTTGGGGTCCTGGTTTATTTTACAAAAATAGAATCATATAAACTTTTCTCTTTCTTTTCTCACTTAGTATTACCTCCTGGAAATCTTTTCAAGTCACTGTATTGCTCAAATCTTTCTCTTTAATAGCTAGGCAGTAGTCTGGGTGGCAACAGGATAGATTGTATTCGGCCATTCTGCCAATGGATCACAGCCATTCACTATTTCCAGTTTATGTATGACTATAAGCAATGTTAGAAGATATAAACATCTTTCCATATACAGTTGCTCCTTGAATAAGACAGGTTTGAACTGCCTGGTTCCACATATAAACAGATTTTTTAAAAAGCCAATCACGGATCAAAAACACATTTGCCAGATATGAAACCCAAGTATACAGAGGCCAACTTTTCATTTATGTGGGTGCCACAGGGCCAACTCTGAGACTTGAATATGCTTGGATTTTGATACACTTGAGAGTCCTGGAATCAGTCCCCTGCATATACTAAGGGACAATTCTATATTCAAACAATATTGGTGTTTTTATTTCTGTAAGATTCCTAAGTATGACCCTCTTAGATCAAACTACTTCTGTTTTTATTTTAATAGTATCAGATTGCTTTCCAAAAATCCTTAAGCAGTGACTATTTCCACGAGCAGTATATAAGAAGACACTTTTCCCTATAGTCCTGTTAGTGACAGATGGAACTGTTCCTTTTACATTTTTGCTAGTGGAACAAGTATAGTGATAACACACTCTTTTATTTCACATTTCCCTGATTACTATTTTGAGCACCTTTATCTAGGATTCAAGAAACAGAAAATGAGTACACACAACATGCCAGGTTCTCTATGCTGGGCACTGGGAATACAAAGGTAAATAAAAAAAAGAAATGTTCCTTTCTTCTGGGATAGTCACAGAGGCAGACATGAAATAAACAAGAAGATATAGTAACAAAAAGTTTAAGTGCTATGAAAGAAAGCAGACAGAGTTATGAGGAAGAATAGAAGGAATACATGAATAGGAAAGGCCTCTTTGAAGAAATGGCATTTAAGCTGTAGGATCCGAAGAAAAGGTCCTTAAGTATTGTCCTGATGATTATTATCAGTGGTCTTCTATTGGTGGTCTATTATCAGTGGTTCTCTTAGTGTTCTTCTATAAATTGTCAATTGTGTAGACTCTACCCACTTTCCTAATGTGATGTCTTTTTTCTTGTCAACGTTTAAGTGTTCTTTGATAGTCAACCCCCCAAATCAACTGTTTATTCATAGACTTTACAGAATCTTTGGTATACAGAAGTACTTAATTTTTATGTAGTTAAAAAGATTTGTCTCTTCTTTTATAGGTTTTCAATGTCTTGTAACTGTAAGGTGGCTAACAATACCCCCAGGTTGTAACTGAAATCTCCTAGATTTATTTCTGAGATTTTTATTGTTTTGAGCCTTTAAATCATAAGAATTTTTTTAAAAAACAAGGGTTGAGCACTATTCACTTCTAGGTGGATATATAATTTCCCTAGCACTACTTATAAAACTATTCAATCTTAATGAACTAAAATATTAGTTGATAAATTTCGATTTCTTATAATATACCCCTTAGTGAGCAAGGGACAGACCCTGAAGCCACTAATTCCTGGGTAAGTTATTTAACCTTTGAAATGCATAAGTGTCCAAATCAGAATTATTCCAATAAGATGCCTCATAGAGACAGGAGTGGAGCTACTAAATGAGCAGCAGGATACAAGATTCCAGGACTCAGGGAAGAGGATTTAAAGATACCAGGGTGAGAAAATGCAGACAGCAGGCTCAACACTGAGCCCTAGGAACTTAATCTTTAGAGGCCAGGAAGAAGCAGGCCAAGTGAACAGGAGGAGGGCCAGAGGAAAACAAGGAAAACCAAGAAAACTTGTGAGAAGAGCTGAGTCAGGAAAGTGTTTCAAGCTGGAAAAAGTTACTCAGCTGTGTCAAGTGCTGCCCACTGGGTGGTTAAGTAAGAGAAGACAGAGAACCAACTTCCAGACTGGCAAGATGGAGGTATTTGTGACTCTGACAAGAGTTGTTTCACTGGAAAGACAAGGGAAGAAAATTTAACCATAAAGGATAAAATTGAGAATGGAACGATAAAGTAAACAGAATCGTAACTTGCAGTACTAAAATAATTATCTCAAAAACTTAGATTTTGGGGGACTCAAATTACTCCTCAAATTACTACATTGTACTCTATGCTATTATATCTGTACAAATACAATATACAAATATAAATGTTTTCACAAATACAAAGCATATAACAAAAGAAATTTGAACAAATATGAGAACACAAAAAATGAAATACCACAATGGTAAAATCTGTGTGTGCTTCAGTTTTATTATATTAAATACTAAAAATTTAAAAAATTTAAAATATTAAAATATAATTTGTAATTAAAGAATCATAATCTAGAAAAAGATTAACCACAACATGGGGAAAACAATATTCTTTTATTATTATGAAAAGCAGTATGAGACAATAGTTGTTTGCAAATCTGGCCCCTGCATCAGAATCCCTGGGGGTTATTAAAAAACAGCTTCTTCACCTGAGCCCAGTGGGTCGAGGCTGCAGTAAGCCATGATCTTGCCACTACACTCCATCTTGGACAACACAGTGCAACCCTGACTCAAAATAAAACAAAAAACCAAAAAAAAAAAAAAACCAACTTCTTGGGCCCTTACGATATGACACACTGAGCCTCAAGCTATCACATGATTTTGATGTGGCCAGCTGAGCCGTCAAAAAGGAGCCTGAAATATACTTTGCCACCTGTTTTTAAAGTAGGAAGAAGTGAGAAGCAGGAAGACTTGCTGGGGAAGTCTCTAGACTAGATTCCCAATTCTATTTAAGTGTGGCAGAAAGGAGGATAAACTATCCGTCAACAAATATTTACTGAGGACATAATATCTATCTGGCACCATACCAGGCACTAGAGTGACCCTCCATGATCTCTGTTCTCTTGGAGCTGATCATCTAGTTGGGAAACTAGATAATAAACAAATAAACATGAACAGACAGGTTACTTTACTGAGATGTTAAGTTGTGTTTTGTTCGTATTTTAGGACAGCAAGATATTTTTTCCTAGTCTTTTCCAAGGAACCTTACAAAGAGCTCTATATTCTAATGATTTTGCTTTTGCAAATACAAAAATATAAGATGTGAAAACCTATAAACTATCCAGACTTAACATTCTGAAGGAGAGGAAGGCAATCAGTTTTACATCTACCAAAAGATGCTAAAATCAAGTTGAAGTCTATCAGTGTCTACCTAATGACAGTAATACAAATGATTCCTGTCCACAGATATGAAAACTGTGGAAACAATTTTTATTTGCCTGATTTGGCTACTGCAGTGGATTGATGACCTATATATAGGTATGTGTTTGAATTCTCCTTGTTGATTCCCTCATTAACTGAGTGAAAGAAAATTTTTGACACATGTATGTTCTATATTTGTATGAGTCATGTTTTTAATCTTTTAAAAAATTATTCTAAATGTTGTAACTATTTGTCAAAATCATGTTTAGCTCAAAACTGCTTCTATATTTCCTAACAATGAAAGAAAAATTCTGCATTAATAATTAAATTCTAACATTCGCAAGTCCTGCATTACTGAGTCAAAACTGATTCTTTCTCTTTTATTTGTCAGTTGGTTAAACACATGACTATTTAAAGGTTTACCTTTGGGGCTCCATCCTTCTGGATCCCTACGTCATTTGTGGCGATTCCTTTGACACTACCATCTTCATGAAAGAGGACCTAAAAATTATCAAAATGGATTTATTATCACCTTAGGATTCATAATCTGGAAAAAAACAGTAGACAGCTTTAAATTCCTTAAAAGTGAACACATTGTCTAGATTATAGAAATACAGGCTTTAAATGTTCAGACAAAAAAGAAACACGCCATTGAAGTACTTTCTAGAATATAAAAGAATACAACTCAAACACTTGGAAATCAAAGCAATGCCACAAACTTGATGAGAAAGAAAAAGGGAGGCTGCTGGAGAGGATAATAAAGAAACCAGTGGGATTAAACAAGAAGCCACTTCAGATACCAAGCCACGTGCTAAGAATCTGAAATCATGACGTGTAATGAATGATGAAGAACATGAAGGTGGGTTGAGAAAAAAACTGTTGGGAAAGCTTGTCTCACGTGAGCTAAGAACCGCCCGCCCCGCCCACCAAAAAAAAAAAAAGCCAGAGAGAGGCTGAGGGCAGCCCAAAGGTGAGTAAAGTTTATTTGTGAAGGAAGATGGAAGGGAAAATAGGTCCAAAGTTGAGAAACAGCAATACTCTGAAACCTGGAGTTGGCCGGTTTCCTCTGGAGAAAGATGCTCTTTGGATAGGAACGGACAAACACACTCTGCTATCACACAGCAGATTATAAGAAAACACGGGAGTGGAAGGGTAAAACAAGAACCAGCAGCAATGATATGAAAACAAGTGTATAAAGGTTTATTGATGTTTTGAAAAAAAAAAATCCACAGTAGGATGTGGTTATGGACTAGAACTGAAGTCTGGTTCTGAGTTCTGAGTACCCAAAAAACATCTGGCACACAGATCAGTAACCTATGGATGATCATTAAGGAACCAGGGAAAAGAAGAGAGAGACAAGAGGCTGCAAGTGCCCACGTGTGTACTCAGAAGTGAAAATCATGGATTCTACAAACCACCTACCTGTGCCTTTGACACTGATCCCACTCAACGCTTAACAAGGAGAAATGCAAGAATCCCACACTTGGGTCCAAAAACCCAAATGCATATGTATGAGCTGGGAAAACAGAAATTCATAGCAGCAAGTATAATACAGGGGCCTGTGTGTTTTACTTGACTTATACAGTAAGGGTAAAAACAAATCTAAAAACATTTTCTCTGGTGCCAAAAACAAAAGAGAACTTCCCCCTACCCCTCACTTTTCTTTTAGTATTTCCTTTAGCACACTTCTAACTGTAAATCCTTTCTCTGTTTCTCTGAGATGCATGAGAATCTTTTTTTTTTCTTTTTTAGTCACAGTCTCACTCTGTTGCCCAGGCTGGAATACAGTGGCATGATCACGGCTCACCATAGCCTCTAACTCCTGGACTCAGGCGATCCTTCTGCCTCAGCCTTCTGAGTAGCTGGGACTACAGGTGCATGCCACCATGTCCGGCTAAGGTTTTTAATTTGTTGTAGAGACAAGGTCTTGCTATGCTGTCTAGACTGGTCTTGAACTTCTGGGCTCAAGCAATCCTCTTCCCTCATCTTTCCTAAATGCTGGGATTATAGGCATGAGCCAGAACACGGTGTGTGAGAATCGTTTTATTTTTTATTTTTGAGTTGGAGTCTCACTCTGCCATCCAGACTAGAGTTGCAGTGGCATGAACATGACCATCGCAGCCTCCTTCTGGGAATAGGTGATGTTTCCACCTCAGCCTTCAAATAGCTGGTACTACAGGTACGTGCCACCACCCTAATTTTTTTGGTTTATTGTAGAGATGAGGTCTCGCTATGTTGCCTAGGCTAATCTCGAGCTCCTGAGCTCAGGTAGTTCTCTCGCTTCTGCCTTCCAAAGTGTTGGGATTATAGAAATAAGTCACTGTGCCCAGTGAGAATCTTTTGAAAAGCTAAATAAGACCAGATGTGGTGACTCACACCTATACTCCCAGTACTTTGGGAGGCTGAGGTGGGAGGACTGCTTGAGCCCAGAAGTTTGAGACCATCCTAGACAACATAGTGAGATCTCATCTCTACAAAAAGTAAAAAAAAATTAGCCAGGCATGGTGGTACCTGTCTGTAGTCCCAGCTACTTGGGAGGCTAAAGCAGAAGGATCTCCTGAGCCCAGGAGGTCAAGGCTTGTGGTGAGCCATGATTGTGTTACTGCACTCCAGCCTGAGCAACAGAGTGAGACTCTGACTCTAAATAAATAAATAAAAATGAAATAAGCCTCAAAGAAAGCTATACAAACTAAAAAGATCCCAAAAAGCATCATTCACAAGTTAGTTTCTGACTCCCAGCTTCATTCATTCCCCCTAAAAATCACTAACAACACCTCAAGATTGCTAAACACTCATCTCTGCTTCCCCTATGAAGAAGGGTATACAAGCATCTGGACTTAGGTTATTGGGGATCCTTCTCATGTGATTCCCCTGTGCTTGTGTACGTTAAATAAAGCTGTATGCTTTTTCTCCTGTTAATGTATTGTCAGTTCACTTTCAGCAAACCTTCAGAGAGGAAGCCTTCCCTTAATCCCTACACTGCCCCTATATCAGGAAAGAGAAAACTCCAGATTAAAGATGGAGAAAATGAGAGCAGGACATAATTGTAACTAGAAAGTTGTCCTTGTGAGAAGGGACAGATTTGTTCTGTGCAATAAAACAGTAGATAATTTCTATTCAATATAAGGAAGAGATTTCCAACAGTCCACAATTTTTCATCCCTTATGGTATTCAATCATAAATGGTAAAATCATTTGATGGTGGCATATGAAATAAGGAATTCAAGTACTCTTCAGATTACATCTTTTTAAGGTTACTTTTAATTTTGCAATTCTAACATCCTATGGTTTTAAGAAATACTTCTTCATTTCTGTAAAATTATTCATTTATTCTCAAAAGATAAAATATTAAAACAAAACAAAATATACACACCTCGGCAGCTGCATAACCAGGGTATACTTCTACACCAAGGGCTTCCGCTTGCTCCCCCATCCAGCTCACTAAATGTCCCAAGCGCACAATGTAATTGCCGTGATTATTCATTGGAAGACCTAGAAATGTATGATTAATTTTAAAATCTGACTTTTTACTGATAAAGCATCTCAAAATATAAATAATTAAAAATTCACATCAATGTGTATTTCTACATAAGTGTACATGTTATCATAGTCATAATTTCAACTTACTTTCTACAGTTTTGGTCTAGAGTTCTAATTTATTAATTTAAAAACAACATTAAAGCTCTAAATTAAAAAGTCCTGGTTGGCTTACAAGGCTATCTCAATTCTCCTAGACTGGAAGATAAAAGAATTGGGTTCTACTCCTGCTTTCCCACCAGCTAGCTGTATATCTTTGGGGAAGTCCTTCAAATACCTGGACCTCAGTTTTCTCATCTGTGAAAGGAGGAAATTTACCAGATGAAATATAGTTCCTTCTAAGCTTTGGAATTCTGTAGCTCTATGAATTTTCATTATACCTTACCTGGAAGAATTGGCACAGGAATTCTATATTTCTCTGTTAAAATTCCAAATCTGTCTTCTGTTACAGGAGTGTTAAGTGGAGCCTAGAAACAAAAGAATGAAAGAAAAAGAAATGATTTCAGTTCCCATTTGTAAGGGTAAATATAATTTAAAAACAGACAAAAAAAAAAAAAAAACAACCTTTAAAACTACTTTGGTGGCAAAACGGAAAGGGAACTCCCTCCTTAATTATCTTTCAGTAGTTTCTTTAGAAAACTTGTAACTATAAATGCTTTCTCTATCTTTCTGAGATATATGGGAATCTTTTAAAAACTAAATAAGCTCTTGTCAGTTTTCTATCCCTGGCATGTCTTTCTTGTGGGGAGACATCTTTGAATGTGAAAATCGTGTCTCTTTGGGAGTTTAGCCTAGGTGCTTGGCTATAAATGGAAACTTCCTTCTTGGTGAAAGGTAAAAGAAATTTTATTTTTCCTTTGGGAAAAAAAAATTAATATGTTGCAACAGATTGTACCTGCCAGCTATTTATATAAGAAGGTACCAAAGCAATAAAGGGCTTTAACATGCAAAATACTTTCTATTAGAATTGATATTATATCAATAATTGAATGATATTCATTTCTGAAATAATATTGAAAAGAGAAATTTAATTAAGCACAATTAAAGTACTTCTAATTTAAAGGAGCTTGATTTTTTTTTTTTCTGAGTTGGAGTCTCACTCTGTTGCCCAGGCTGGAGTGTAGTGGCATGCTCATGGCCACTGCAGCCTTGATCTGCTGGGCTCAGGCGATCCTTCCACTTCAGCCTTCCAGGTAGCTGGAACTACAGGCATGTGCCACCATGCCCAGTTAATTTTTTTTATTTTATTGTAGAGATGAGGTCTCACCATGTTGCCCAGGTTGTTCTCGAACCCGTGGGCTCAGGAGATCCTCTTGCCTCAGTCTCCCAAAAGTACTGGGATTATAGGCATGAGCCACTGCTGAAGATTGATATTTTACAAAGAAAATCATAGATGGAATTTCTGGAATTCAATTTACTCCACAAAGAAAGATATGGATAATATTTATATAATTTTTTGATCTTTACCAGTATTAAGACACTGGATATTTTAACCTTGGAGGTGGGACAGGTATAATACAAGCTATCTTACAGTAGAAAAAAAGAGTGTAAGATTTTAACCAAGTTCATACAAATTGTATTTAAGAGTAATAAAACTAGGACTTGGTCCTCTGTCCATATATACCTTTTCTGCTTAGGTTATGGGAGACCGTATTTTAATTTTAATTCATTTCTTTAGAAAATTAGATTATCCTCTTTGGCTTTCAAGATTGCATTGTCCCAGAATATTTTGTAACACTTTATTAAGAATAATGATACAAAGACCTACAGAACAAGTTAAAAAATACCCTCAAAATAAGAAATGCTGTATTTCATTTGGTAGAAATAGCAAATAAAATATTTTCAAGATAGCATCTCATAAATCCAGTGCATAAATACAATGTATAGAGGCATTATATAAAATCTGAGTTAATATCTTAGGATACAACTCGGATACAATTCAATCATTTTGTTCTTTTTAATTAAAAAAATAAAACTATCCCTTAAGAGAGAATTACATGAAAAAGTTTTCCTATATTCCAGTAATTTGGAAACAGAGATACAATAAAGATTAAACTTTGTATAAAAAGCTACTTTTCATACCCCCTTCTCCTTCCAGTCGGGGAAGAGTTCTTTAAAAGCACCTGGATCAAGGCACGCCCCTGAGAGAGTATGAGCCCCTATCTGAGCAGCTTTCTCCACTAGACACACTCGGATGTCCCTTCCGTGTTCAGCAGCCAACTGCTTTAGACGGACAGCTGCAGAGAGCCCTGCAGGGCCTGCACCGATGATGACAACATCCGCTTCTTCCGCAAACCTTTCCATGTTCACTCCTGGGAGAAAAATATGTTAAAAATAATACAAAATTCAGCACCACACGATAAATCTTACATTCTGGTTTAAAAATATGCACTATGATATTTAGAAGCCATGTGGTGTTCCTGAAATGTTAGATTCATAGTTCATATTCAGTTTAATGAGTTGACATTCATTTAACTGGGTCATCTGGAGCACACAGGGAGGCAAGAAAATAATATATGTAATACATTTTTAAAAGTTCATTATGCTTTAGAGCATTATTTAAGGAAATTCTTCCGGTGCTTTGTACAGTAATTATGCAAAAAATATTATCACATTAGTTTGATGCTCTCTTAGGTTCTGTTCTGGTGCCTATTTTATTGTAGCATCTATAAATCAACTTTTGGCTTTGAGATGTATTATACATTTAGCAAATATTTGCTTATCTAAATACAGTCATGTGTTGCTTATCGATGGGAATATGTTTTGAAACATGTGTTATTAGGTGATCTCATCACCATGTGAACATCATAAACCTAGATGGTACAGCCTACTACACACCCAGGATATATGGTACAGTTAATTGCTCCTGGGCTACAAACTTGTATAGCATGTTACTGTACTGAATACTTACAATAGTATTTGTGTGCCTAAACATATGTAAACATAGAAAATGTACAGTAAAAAATACAATATAAAAGATTAAAAATGGTATACCTGCATAGGACACTTACCATGACAGAACTTGCAGGACTGGAAGTTGTTCTGGGTTAGTCAATGAGTGAGTGGTGGACGAATGCGAAGGCCTAAGACATTACTATACACCCCTGCAGACTTTATAAACACTGTACACTTAGACTATGATAAATTTACTAAAAAATGTTTTTAGCATAAAGCACAAACATATAGCCATATAAAAATATTTTTCTTTATATCGTTATTCTATAAGCTTTTTTAATATCTTCAAATATTTTACATTTTCAGTTTTGTTAAAAACCAAGACACAGACAGACACATTAGCTAGGCTAACATAGGGTCATGATCATCAATATCACTGTTTTCCACCTCCACATCTTGTCCCACTGGAAGGTCTTCAGGGGCAATAACACGCATGGAGCTGTCATCTCCTGGAATAACAAAGCCTTCTTCTGGAATACCTCCTGAAGGACCTGCCTGAGGCTATTTTACAATTAACTTTTAAAAAATAAGTAGAATGAATATATCGTAAAATATTGATAAAAAGTAGAATACATACATAAACTAGTAACATGGTCGTTTGTTTCATCACCAAGTATTTGTACTGTAAATAATTTTATGTGCTAAATTTTTATGCAACTGGCAGAGCAGTAATTTTGCTTACATCAGCATCACCACAAACACATGAGTAATGTGTTGTGCTACAATGTTCTGAAAGCTATGCTCTGAAGGATGTCACACTAGGCAATAGGAATTCTTCAGCTTCAATATAATCTTATGGGACCACTGTCACATATGTGGTCTGTTGTTGACCAAAACGTTGTTATATGGCACATGACTATAATAATATGTGCTATATTTGGTAAAGCCATAAAATATTACTAGATGCTTTGAAACCATTATGACTAATATAATAGCTCCCCGCCACAAAATGATACAAAGTATGTAGAAGTTTCCCAAGAATTTTACACAAATTATGACCTACCTTCCCATCGCTTATCCTTATCCCGTGGATACATAGTATAGTGGGTAGTAATTTGAGGCACAGCAGAAGTTGCAGACCATCTTGCAGCACACAGAGGTAGATAATTTTTCTTAATTTTTAAGGCATGAAGGCACTGATATGCTGCAGAAAAATTACAAACATTATTCCCTTTTTTCAATTAATTTTCCTCAGTAGACTGAAAAAGCATACAAATTATTGTCCTCAATGAATGATATAAATTGAAATCGATTATGCTGCTTCCTAGATGAACAATTCAGTTAACTTTTTCTAATGAAGCAATACTTTCAAATCTTAAGTATCTTAAACTATCTAATAAATAAATTTATTCAATTTAGCTCATGTCAGCCTTAACCTAATAGGAAGACCATATGATTAGCTACCCAAACTGGATACTTTTGAGAGTATCAGGGAGCAGTATTAACAACTGTTAATGTTATGTTCAGTCAGTCGACAAAAGGGTAAACTGGTTTTATGGTCAGCTTCTTTTTTAAGTAAGTTGACCTACCTATTTGGTAGTATCTTCTGAGATTCTTGAAAACATATATATTTTTTAGATAGCAAATAGTATTTTAGGGAAAAGAACAGAAGTCTATAAAGATTCATCTGCAAATATGTTCATTAAACTTTCTCTGTTGTCCTTAAACTTCTAACTTCACCTCCTCTTTTCCTTACCTGGGGCAGATACCCTAACATCAAACCACATAAAGACAGAAGCAATTAGATAGTATAATAGCTCTCTCAATTCCTTGGTAACAGCCTCTAATGTCATCTGCATTAGTGCCCACATTTTGTTCATTCTCTCAGCCTGTAACAGAAGGGATATCTTTTCTCCCTACTTAGGTCAGTCCCTCTACCTGGATGATGAGGCTTATCGCTCCCATCTTCTTAAGGACATTCCTCCATCTGATACCCTCCTTCCTCTTGTATTTTCAATCTCTGACTCCCCTTTCTTTGTTCTTCTTGATAATCCTTCCTCTCATTAAAAAAAAGAACAGAGACTCTCCTCATAAAACCACTTCTGACAGATATAAAACTTGTATCTGAAGTCATAATTATATGTCTGTTATAGGAGAAGGGATAGAATAACAAAAGGAACAGAATAAAGAGTTCATAAATAGAATAGGATACATCTGGGGATTTGGTATATGATTCCAAATCAGAGAAAAGAGATGGTTAATCATTAAATGATGCGGAGATAGCCAGGAACCTATTTGGAAAAAAGTGTACCCTGTTCCCTATGTCAAAGGAATTCCATCTGATCAAAGATTTTAACGGAGAAAATAAAAGTAAAACATATTAGTGATATATCCATAAATTAAATGATTCTCCTTCATTTGAGTGAGCTAGACTTATTGACTATCTTCTAATAAGTAGAGTATGGAAAGAAAAAATATTAACTGCACAGTAGAGCAATATGGCAGACACCACTTCAAGTTACCAAGTTTAACATTACCAGCAACAAGACATATTGACATCATGTACCTTCAGATATGATGTGATAAGAAGGGCTCTTCACCTCTGTGGTACACATCCTCAAAATCTTTACTCTTATTCTAATCATAAGAGATCATCAGACAAACTTAGATTGAGGGACATTTCACAAAACGCCAGTTTGGCAGTTTCTTACAAAACTAAATATAATCTTACTTTTGAATATATTTAACCATATGACCACATGACCCAGCAATTGCACTTCTTGGTATTTACTCAAATGAGTTGAATATTACTCAGTGCTAAAAAGAAATTAGCGATCAAGCCACGAAAAGACATGGAGGAATCCTAAATGCAGATTATCACATGAAAAATCCCAATCTGAAAGGGGATTTCAACTATATGACATTTTGGAAAAAAAAAAACTACAGAGGCAATAAAAAGATTATGGAAGGCTGAGGTGGAAGGATCGCCAGTACCCAGCAGTTCAACACTAAGGTGGCCATGAGTGTGCCGCTGCACTGCAGCCTAGGTGATGGAGTGAGACTCCAACTCAAAAAAAATTAAATAAAAAAAGATTAGTGGTTTCCAGAGATTTGGAAGGAGAGAGGAAGGGACAAAGAGATGAAGCACAGGGGATTCTTTTTTTTTTTTTTGAGTTGGAGTCTCACTCCATCACCCAGAGTGGAGTGCA